GTCAAGGATTCAATGTTTCTAACCCTAAGTACGAGCGCTGTCCCGAGAATACGGTTAAAAATGGCCATAATTTAGAAAATTGTTATTTAATCACAAAGAACATTTCATCATAAAATAATTACACAATTCATCTAATACTCAATGTAATCCTGGCGAAGCTCATAGCATGTAGATCTATATCATCGTTTCATAAGTACTTACTACATTACTTACCCTCCCTCAAGAAATTCTATTCAAGACATTTCTAATAATTTGTTTCTTCGCCAAAGAGACCTTTCTTAGTGAAGCAGGGTCCTGACATGTCGTTTATGGGGTTCAAACATTATTTTGTGTTGGGGGGGGGGGAGGAAGGAGGAGGGGGGATATAATTTTGATTCAGTAGGCTTGACACGACCTTCAACACAGTTTGGATCGTGTAGGAGGCAGGCTTCCGGCCCTATCCATACTGGTGATAATCTGAAGGAGCAAAGTGCGGTGGGTGAGGCAAACCTCCCATTTGTATCAACGATGCGTCCCTGGAACACAAATAAAACTTTCCACTTGCTTTAAAAATCACCTTATTGAAAAGAAATCATGTATAAAGAGATATATCATTATTATGCTAATTCTATATACAAAGAATACAGGCCAGGTAGGCCTCCGAAACGCTCAACTACAGGTTTCAATTCAGTTTCTGACGCTCATGAATGACCACTCTTCTGAAAAATAAGAGTACAATCATTTTCTGGTATCCAGTACGTAAAATAATTTTTAAAAATCAAATGTTAAATGTGTATGTGAGTGTCGTAACGGTAAAATCAGGCGCTCGTTAAAATAATAAAATTTAAAAAAACAGACGTTTGTCCTCCTCACTGGGTAGTTTGTATCACTTTTTTAAAGGGAGGGGAGAGGTGGGAGGCGGGAGGGGATCAACACCTTTTGTGCCCATGTAAGAATATATTTATATGTAGATTTTACTTACATAAATCGTTCGTTGACCAAAATTTAAAAGAGGTAATTTTGCAGTTTACGAGGACACTTGATTTTTGAATGTCACCAAACTTCAGTAGCGATTAATTCGTTAATCTTTTCTCTTTTTTTAAAGTTTTAATAAGTGTTTTACGATACTTGAAACGCAATACGGTTATATAAGCGCCGAACATTAGAGATGATAAAAGAGAGTAACAAACACAAAAAGAAGGGGGGGGGATAAAGACGATAGACATTGATAGGAAAAAAAACCCACACCAGAGCACCCACCAACCACCCACAATCGTTACTCTGTCGTATGGCAACCCAAGACCTTAAATCGAAAATATGTCGACCTCAATAGGGTAGATAAAAAACATGAATGAAGTAGTTTTAAAATGATACTAAAAACTCCATATTTATGATTTTAAAAACTGACAGGTATCTGATTCTACCGAGTCATCATACATACACAAACACACATATACACACACACACACACACACACACACACACACACACACTCACACACACACACACATACACAAACATACACACACATACACACACACACACACACACACTCACACACACACAAACTCATATGACATACTTATATATACAGACACACAAACAGATACACACATCTAAACAAACACACACACGCACACAAAGACATACGCACATAATAATAATAATAATAATAATAATAATAATAATAATAATAATAATAATAATAATAATAATAATAATAATAATAATAATAATAATGATTATGATCATAATAATAATGATAATGATAATAATAAATAAAATAAATAATTAAATAAATAAACAAATAAATAAATAAGAAAGAAAATACATTTTTTCAAAGTTTTGTCGTATCTTTGTGGATAAGCAGTCGGCATCGGACACTGACGATATAATAAAAATAACTTAAAAATTTTTAGGTTGTTATTATTATTATTATTTTTTTTTTTTTTTTTTTTTTTAATATTATTATTATTATTATTATTATCATCATCATGACTCTTATTATTATTATTATTATTATTATTGTTATCGTTATTTTTTTATTTACTCCGTTTCGTCTGTAGAGTAACTCACGCTCTTAGCTGTTGCACCCAGGAGACTGAAACGTAATAGGCGAGTGCGGAGAACATATTTTCGAGTGTTTCTGCTGGGACGATATGACACGAGGGTTGGAAGCCCGCCTCATAAATTATCTAAGTTGTGTCTATTGGAGCTTTAAAAACACCCAGCTACATTTTTAAAGATAGATTATTATGAATATTAAATCACACACACACACACACACACACACACACACACACACACACACGCACACACAAACACGCACACACACACACACACACACACACACACACATCCTCACATCCTCCCCTCCCCCCACACACATACACACATACATGCACACACAAAAATACGTATCATATTATATAAAGCGCACGTATATGGGCTATGTGAGTGTGGGCGAGTATGTGTGTGTGTGTGTGTGTGTTTGTGTGTGTGTGTGTGTGTGTGTGTGTGTGTGAGAGAGAGAGAGAGAGAGAGAGAGAGAGAAAGAGAGAGTGAGAGAGAAAGAGAGAGTGTCTGTGTGTGTGTGGGGGGGGGGGGGTGTTTTGTTCTGGTGTATCAAATGGAGCGAGTGCATAATCCACAAGATTATAATTATTTTCGTCCTTTTTCTCAAAAGTATTTCTGTCATGAAAAGGCATTCTCAGTCCCCAAGAGATTATGTAAGGCGGTTTCTCCATTTCCAAATGTAAAAACAATGATGATGATGAGGCAGAATTTATACAGAGTATCACATGGGAGACAATCAATTAATTTCCCAGCGTAACGTTAAGGATTGCATATGAACTAAGGAGTGACCGATCGTGTCAAAAAAAGAATAGTTTGTTTCTGCTGTTTTATTGTTTATATTTTTTAGGTAAGTATTTTACAACCTAGCAACTGCATAAGGTTATATGAGCGCGCGGGACACAAAACATTTTCAGTTGGTTGGAAATTTTGAATTTTGCCCGTGGGGCGGCCGAGTTTAACGTTCGCAACTTGCACACGAGACCTCCGACATCTTTCGCCTTTATCCGAGAAGGCTAAGTATAGTTCTTTCCTACCATAAAATCAGAGGTGTGGCTGTAAGACAGCAGTAAGGATGCGCCAAGGAGTAACAGTGGAAAGGTAGCAGAAAGAGTCCGGAGCCCAGAGGATGGGCAAATGAGGTAAGGGTGTGGGGTCCGAAAGTGGAGACGAAAGCAGACTACAGAACAATGTTAGAGAGCAGAAAAGGATGTGAGAGGAGGAAATTAAGAGAAGAAAATGTGTTTTTGTTATCGGGATTCAAATCCGGGACCTATTGAATTAGGGCGAATATTTTACACTCTACACTAATAGAACCCTGAGGAAAACTTTGAATGCTCCTCACTGTTCAGAGTAATTGTAGAAAACTGTTCTTAAACGCTTTGTTGTACTTTCATGTGGGATAGGGAATGAGGGGGTTTAACCTTTGGCAGGTGTAATGCCCGTATTAAACACTATTGTTTTATTTAAGTGGCAAACCTCCGAATTCAATATCCATCTCCCACAGGACTGGTCGAAATGGGTGGAGGGCTTTAAGAGCGTACCAAAATAACTCAAGGTCAGAGTGCCTCGGTGATAATTCAAACCAGGGCATTCCGCAGAGTAGACCAACATGACACTACCACCCAAGCGTGTGGTCGTGAAGTGCTAGTTTGAGGGACATCCTTTTGAGTGACACGAAACAATCAATATCTTGTGGTATTTTCATGTGGTTTAGCCAGATAACTTATCACCTTCTGTCTAGCTAGGCTAGCTCAATCAATCTAAAGGCGAGACATGCTTGGTCATACAAGGCGTTTTTAATATATTATATGTGAGGCATCGTGGTGAAATCAGGCGTTCGTCAAAACAATGAAATCGAAGATACCGGCTTTTTTCCAGCAAATATGGCAATTTTTTATCGAATGTTTGTAGGTTGTTGGTTTGTTGTTGTTTTGTTGTTTTTTTTTGGGGGGGGGAGGTTCTCAAAACCAGTTACGTTCTTTTGAAATACATTTCTATGTGGCTTTTACTGTAAAACGTTGATTAAAGCACAAAACAAGTACATTTTCAGTTTCCAAGGATTCTTAGTCTATGGAAATCACTAAACTTTGGCGGCCATTTTCTAGCGCATTTTACCTCTAAAATCAGGTGATTCCTCCCCTCTTCTTTCAACCACAAACAGCTTTACTTTTATTCTGGATAGACAAGAACTTTTGCATCAGAATCATGATAAATGAACAAGCCCTATGATGATATCAATGACTCTATATGCCACAAATTTCACCAACGCCTGATTCAACTGCGTTGATACACATATTAGATTGTTGTTTTTTCTAGGTGCTCGTGACACGCTTTTGCGATCTCTATATTCACCTTATCCCGATTTAGAAAAACTGATAACCATATCATATTTTCTCGGAAACAAGAATGTTTTGGAGCTCCTTTATGAGCAACTTCTAAATGGAAAATGGAAGCGTTTGGATTCACTAACATTCTTCTAAAGTTTAAGTTGATTATTTGTCTTGTATCCATTCTCTTTCAAATGCTCACACGGTTGGACAGTTACCCAATTGTCCCACATGCTGCTCAAACTGTTCATTTCCCTTTCCCAGTGAGTATAAAAAAATTTCTCAAAAGTATTGGCCTCGGAAAGAGGATCTTTACGAGAACAGGGATAGGAGAAGAAAGCACAATCAGACAAGAGCCCGTCTGATATCCTGCCCAACAGACGTGGACACCCTTATGGGGATACCTGCTCCTAAGCTAGTCATGAAACATTTACATTCGTAAAGATACGCTATAAACTTTTAAGTCATTGGGGACGTCAATTCTGGCCATAATATAAAAACGCTTAAAGCCGCACTGGTTAGTTGTTGTTGTTGTTGTTCTTGTTTGTAGATTGTTTTTTGTTTTTTATGGGGGTGTTTGTTTATTTTTTTATTTGGATTTTGTGAGCACTAAAGGAAGCATACAGTCATTATTTATACACATTTCTCACTTCTGTTTTAAAATGGGAGTAAAAAATCAGGTATACATGAAATACGCATACATTCTTTTTTCTAATTTGTGTATGTTGGTTTGAGATATGTCACAACGTTGCCTTTGGTTGGCTGCTTGCCGAATACATGTGGCTGCTACGTTTTCAAAGAGTTAAGAGGGTACACAACATCACTCCTTTTTGTACAAGCTTCAATAAAAGTAAGAACAATTTAGATCATCCGAGGAGGGGCGTCTAGAACTTGCATGTTGAAAACAGAAGGAGATACTCGATACAATTTCTCCCACACGCGAATTGAACTCAGGTCTTCTGAGAACGACAACCAAGCGCCTGACCGTTATAACACAGACTCTGGCTCGTGGATTCTATTTTGTTCCGGACTTTCGATAAGGTTTAGATTACAATGTCTACACATTGTTGGGCCATGGAACTAGGGACCAACTTTTTTCCTCACAGCCACGTGATGTGTCCCAAACGTAAAGGTCGTTGAGCCTGACGACCATTTCATTCCCTCCGTCTGTTGGGTGGTCGAGATAAAACAACGCGAGGCCAAAGGTGAGAGCAGTCTCGTTTGATCAGTCGTGAAGCTATCTGGATATTTCTTGTTTGTGGAGAAATTACGTGTTCAATTTCAGTAATCAATGTTTTTCAGAGGTTGCGTGTTCGAAACAAGATAAAGTGTTGGTGAGCATGCAAGCACTTTGAAAAAATATAATTCATACCTTTTTTTATCCTGAAAAATAATTATGTTTTGTTCATATTTAATTTTTTATTTACGGAAACACGAACTGAGATTTTAACCTCTAGACACTTCGATATTGTCTCGAACAATGTAAATTTAATACGAAACTAAACGATACACATGTCCCCCTTTCTTTATGTGGAGTAATCGCAAAGGATTCTTATAAGGATTAAAATGTTTATAGTAGAAGGATGCAGTTCTAAGTAGATTGTATTTCCAGGTAATAAAATATCCCCAGGGTGTAGACATGAGTGAAGATAAGCAATAAATGTAGACCAGAGGGACTAAAAAGAAAGCAACTTACTAAGAACTAGCGATTGGGAGAGAAAAAAATCAAGCTTCTCATTTCCAAGACATATGTAAAAAGGAAAGCACGAAAAATGTTATCTAAAGGCTTGGTTGTTAAATTGGTTACTATTTTATTACTGTTCGGTCTAAAGAATGTATGCAACTGTGTAGGCCAATATAAAATATTGCAATAAACAATGTTTTGTTAGACCAGCATTTTCTAGATCACACTTTTTTCTGTTCTTTCTAGGCTCTTTTCGTCTCACAAGGAAGCAACTATGGCGGTGAGTTTACTTACATTGTCATAATATGGATCTAAGTCAAAGACAATGAGACTTTATCATTCAGTAAAAAGAGTTATTAATACCACATTCTCAGTTTTGGAGTCCTCCTAGAAGATTCCCCCCTCCCCCCTCACAACCCCCTCTCCCTATTTCAACTTGATTACAAGTAAGATATTTTAATTCATCTCCATTGTTTAGCATTAAAAGTCATTTCCGATTGCCCTGGGGGTAGTATTTTAGTGAAGATTTTACGCCATAAGTTGTAACTGTCTTATTGACTATACGTTTTTTCTTCTAAACATTGGGACCTTTCCATTCCTGCTTAACGTTATCAAGTGTATGTAAAAAATAAAAAAACATCTAAGAGTACATTAAGTGAGCACAGCCTTAACTGCAACGCATAAAAGATCATTTATGGAAGGAAAACAAAAAAGTGCACCCTCTCCGTATTCTTATAGATTGATCTGTCTGTTTGTTTGTTTGTTTGTTTGTGCATTGACAGGTTTATTTAATTACCCAAAAAACAAACAACCCAGAAAATAAATTCTAATACAATTCTGTAAAAGAAGCACTACAAACACACTTGACAAACACAATATTCTAGAGAGAGAGCGAATACCGTTTTCAAACTCAGACGAAGCTCCAGCAACGCCACGACCAATTCTCGCAATACTTTTTTTTTAAATTCCTTCAAGTGAATAGCGTTTTAGAGTTTTAGGGAGGGCAGGCGTCAGGGATAATGTCAACATCCTTTATCCTAGTTCTCTCAATGCATTTTCCCACAATGCTCAATAATTTCATAAGAAAATTAATGTATGATGTAAACGTCCAGATTTGAGCAAAATATGTTTTCAAAAATACAATAGAACAAAGTAGTTGAATAAGTTGATTGTAGTGTATTTATATTTGAAAGTAACAGCAATTACATTGACCTTCAAGATGTTCAGAAGAAAACGTGTTACGTTGCAAAGCCTCTAAAAACGTCAATATGGAAAACTAGGCTACAGTCAAATGATAGCAAACTTAATAGCCTTTAAAAAAATATAGTATTTTGGGTTTCCTGAGATTTTTCTTCTTTTAGAGGATTAAAAACAAGTATCTAAAGACGACGCTACTAATAACGACAAAAAACTGACAAGTACGTAGAAATATTATTAAGGCAAAATCATATTCCCTACATACCGACACTTTTTTTCTGAAGGTCGAAAAAGCGGGGTCCAAAATTGGGCCCCGGCAGCCCAGTTACGATCGGCGCGCCGAAAGATAGGATCTATGTCAATTTTGAAAATACCTGATGACGACGGGCGAAAAACTTGTGACAATACAGTTGAAGAAATTCATCGAACACTTCACTCTGTTATCAGGATTTTGACTGACAAACTGAATAAAAGGACGTTTGAAATGAGTACCCTATTTGCTCTTGCTGGATCAAATGAAGCTAGAATCAGATTCTCTATTGGTTTGTTCAACAGATTCTAGAAAAAGCAAAACATAATAATTGATTGATAAAAGCATAACTGTTGAGGAAACCAAAGACAAAGAAATTGTCAACAGAAAAGAGGAACTTTGATGATCCATGTCTGGAGAAAACATGTCGCAAAAAGAAACACATAAATCATGCACAAGGGTTTTTTTCTACATTCAAGGAGTAAGTTTCCAATGGCCGGTTCCAACAGATACTTCATGTTAATAGGAGTAATAATTAGTAGCATATATATATTACATATAGCGCAAATTCCCACTCAACAGCAAGCTCCATGCTCTTTACAACCTATACAATTACCCCTGGCCTGAAAGCATTCTGAAACAATATCAACTTCCTTAGACGCGCACAGTGCAAGTTGCCTATTGTAGGTGCTAAAACACTAACATACTGCCAAGATCGTTCACTGTCTATGGCCGGGTACCCATTCCCATCTGGGTGGAGTGAAAAAAGAATCGTTACCGTGCTTTTTTCAAGGACACAGCGTCGGGCCTGCGCCTCGAACCCTCGAATCCCCAACCTCACGATTATCAGTCCGGTAGCCTAACCACGATCAGTATTATAAAATGGTTCTACAAGAAAACAATAGTTCCCCTATCCGGAAATCTGCTGGAATTTGACCAACATCAATACTCCCGTCCGCACAGCCAAGGTAGAGAAGGCATTCAAGCATCTGGACATAAGTCACTTACTCTTGACGGCTGGTTACGGTGAATGCAAAAGTACATTGATAGCACACGGGGTTTCCTATAACTGAGCATAAGATAAAGGAGTGTTCTGTCAGAATTCCATATCATAGTTTCAAATATTCTTCATCTTATGAATGTAGGAGACATACTTATGAAATGGGCCTCGTACCGTAGCCCTTTCCCACACCTTTTCCATTAAATCTGTGCCACACGCATCAGTTCAATTGATAAAGAGTAGATAGTTACACAATACCGAAAATATAATAATATTCTTTTGTTGCATTTCTTCCCTGAGTGTGTCCTCTCTCTGCCAGATAAAGAAAGTTGACAGTATCGCCAGCACATTTTCTGGTCTACGTTACTTCATGTCATGACAAAAAAGAGCTATAAGAGTACTTCAAGCCCGTCAAACGAAAGTTACGTATTTGTAATAAATTTCCTCTTGTTCTTTAGTATATTCTGAAAGACACGCCATCGATTTAAAAAAAATTAAAATAGCTTTAAAATGGTTATTGAGGACACCGAGAGGAGAGGAGGGGGAGGTTGGGGGGGGGGGTCAAGCTTTCTGTTTCAGCACTCAATCATTGCTGCATAAACGATTCCAACAATAGGTTTCTTTCTTGTACTGAAAAATAGATGTAACTTCCCTTTATGAATGTCATATAAAACGGATAATTTCTATTTCTAGGAGACTATGATTAGTGAGAAAGAATATATAAGAGCAAACGAACATGAACATGATCTTGTGTTCGTTGCTGTAAGAGAAAAGACTAAAATACATTTGAATGGGAGGGGGGGGGGGCTTATGCATAGAATGTTTCAGTGCAGTTATATCCCTTTTTATGATGACGTGCTGCGAAAATAGGTCCTTGCAAAAAAATTATTTTGGATTAATGTTTATAAGTACCAGAACAAACTTAGTTTCAGATAAGTATGCGAAGGGAAAACGCCCCTTTATGAGAGACTTTTGCACAGTGTTATTTCACAATTATTGTATGTAAATCATTAACTGTACAGGCACTGCTTTGTACGGTAGACCACCTTGTACGTGCCTGGAAAACAGATTCTTGCGAGTTGAAAAAGGAATAAAAACTTTATGAAAACGTCTTTCGAGCTGGCACACCGAGGCACGCGGAAACGCGCAACTAAACAGTAGACATACGTTTCGACAAGCAAAATATCATCATAATTGTTTGTTGAAAGGTCTAAATTGCTGGTCACGTTATAAACGACGAATAATACACTTTCTTGTGTGATTTTAACTAACCTGACATATCATTCTCTTTTTTCCATTTTCTGTTGTTGTTTTTTCCAGCGTGGTATTATATTTTTGTCACATAATAGAGATCAGTCTATACTGACAATCCTTTAAGCAGATTTTTATGGGTCTATTCGTGCAGCCTGAAAGGGTTTTCCACTTATAAAAATGTCACGACAATGAAGCCAAAAACATCAAAAGTTTATAAAACATTGTTTCTTAAATATTAGTTTGATATAACCTTAGCAGAGACCGTGACCAGCGTGAAGAGGCATCAGCTCAAGCCCTCGCTGTTACACAATAGGACACAGTCAATACGAGAAAAGTTCGATGTTTTACACAACTTCCCGTTGTTGACTAGGGAATAATACATGACGTCTCTTTTGCAGATAGCAATTGGCAAAGACAATTATAATAATTGTTGTTTTAAAGTTGGGCTAAAAGTTTATTTCCTTCGATCATTGTTTTTGGGGGGTAATGAGGTCGCCAAACGTTCAGTGTTTTTTTATTCACTTTTTTTTACCTTCTGAATTAACAATTCCATGGTGGTGGAAGGCCTATAATATTTTATTACAGATCGAGAAAAGAGATTTAAGTAAAGTTTTTTTCAACGTAAAATCTTTGCAATTATTATAGCCACCAATGTTGTGTATCAACCATGTGTGTGTGTGTGTGTGTGTGTGTGTGTGTGTGTGTGTGTGTGTGTGTGTGTGTGTGTGTGCCTGCCAGCGCGTGCGAATGCGTAAGAATGTGTGTAGGTGTGTTTATGTGTGTGTGAGGGAAGGGGGGCGTAGGGGGGTGAATGTGTATAATTCTTGATTTTGGGGGTTATTAAAAATTTTATCGCAACAAGTGATTTGTTTGATCTGCCTTCTGAATTGCAGGTGAAAATACAAAGAGAGGGTTATATAGGCAGAGTCACGGGGGAGACGGAAAGATA